TGGATTTATTCTACCTACGTATTTTATAGGTCGCAATGGGTTTACATAACACCAACAAACGAATTGCATTACTGTATTAGTTTCTAAAAAAATTAAATAATTCTTACATTATGAAATAATTTTCTCGCCATTCTTTATTTTTCTCTTAACACGCTTTTACGTGTGAAAAAAAAAGGTAGGGGGGGGGGGTTAAAGACAAAAAAATTAAAATATTTACTAATATCATGTAATATATAGAAAAATAAAATATAGAAGAGATTATAATAACATCTTGCATTGCATTTAATTAATATTTCAAATTATGAATCCCGAAAGAAAAATGTAAGATGCTGATAATTCCATTCCCGTTTCACCCATAGTCCTAGCTGTTAGGGAATCATCTCCAGTCCGAACCCCTGGCCATTTTTTCAGACCATGCGTTATGGTAAATCACATAGGGTTTATCTTTAAAAAAATATTGATTTAGACGATTGTATATTTCTGAACAATTTATTCTCAAAATATCGATTCCAAGTTTAATTGTTATTTACAGAAACACTTAAATTATGACCCACTTTCTCTTTTCGTTTTGCGTACACGACGTGTAAGTTGAATTACTTCCTTTTTGCCGCCAGATTATAACGACAAATTTTTGTGCTACATGTATTTTCGTTATAACTTTTGTTTAACAAACACGCAGTATATTGAAATTGTCGAATTATTTAAAATATTAATTTTAAACGAAAGAATTTTAGAATTATCCGGGTATTCAAAAATATTACTTTTAAAAGAAAGAATTTGAGAAGGATTATGTCCGCAAAAAACATGCTTTATTTCATGCATTTCAATTGAGTACACATGGAAAAAAAAGTCGTAGGAAAACGCATACAGGTAATACACACAGGTAACATCCTGTGTATATAGGTAGTATACACAAGTCAGCGTCGTTCCCTCGGGGCTTCTCAGCCGCTTCGATTAAGCTCCACCCCACACCAAACTTAACTGAGGAAAACCGTACGGTTGAAAACCTCGGCCTTTAACGCTTGCTCCAAAGGTTGGAAATCATTCTACGCATTAACTGACATGATTATACTCTTGCAAATCCAGTGACAATGTCTCATCTCTATAGAACTATAGTCATGCCATCCGTTCTTTATGGTTGTGAACTGTGGAACCACATGGTGAACCAAGATATAAGAAGCCTCAACACACTTCAACACGGAATTTGCAAACAAGTTTTGAACCTTCTTAAACTTACCAGTTTACCCTATAGATATTTGTGAATAACTTATGGGTCTTCTACCAATCACTGCGGAAATTTATACAAGGAAACTTCTTTAAAATTTCTTCGGCAGACTTTGTAGACTAGATCTCAACTATCTTTCAAAACAGATCTTTACATCACGCCTTTTCTCCTTCCTCTTTCAACTAACTGGAACTGGAGACCAAATAGAATTCATTCCGTATGTATTGTTCCTTTTTCAGAAATATAAACTCTCACATTACTTGAATACCTGGCTCTCTTCTGGATCGTTCCCATGGAAATCTTTAGCTCGTTCAGCTGTTTAAAAAAAACACACTTACCAACGCATTGATCGAACTGAGTTTGACACAGACTTTTTCAGATTCAGTGCTGTATTTTGTATATCGACACCTTTCAACATGTGGAAAATTGCAGATTCTTTCAACGAAATTCGAAACTTTAAATTCATCTGCAAACTTATTGTATCAATACCCGCTCAAAATCTCATGCATGTTATGCAGTTACCCTATTGCAGACTTTTTTTTCACATGCGGCAATATCTTCTCCAGCCCTCTTGAATCTACATAACATATGGTGGAACTCTCTCTCAGAATCGTTTAACGTTCACCTTGAAGCTGAATTATGTGGTCTTCCTGAAGATGAGTTATTCAACATTCTTCTTGGAAGACCACCACTTACAATCTTTTCAGGAGAAAAAAAGAAATCCACTTTAGAAAACTGAATTACGTGCACATCATCTCCTCCTGTGCACTCTACAACAGACAAAGCAATCTCAGATTTGTAAATGGATACCCCCCCCCCCTCCACTATCCTTTACATAAAATGGTGCATCACATGTGTAGTATTTTCTGCTTTTTATCAGTTTTGTGTATTTTTGTTCTATTTTTGTTTTGTTTTCTTTTTGTTACTTACAATACGTATTTCTTTTTCGACTTCTAACATTGTGATTGAGTTATAATTTATATGTAATTGTCACGTCAAAAATCTCTGTAACAGAGGAAATAAGAGATGAATGAACTTAATGATAAGTGGTGACAGGGTCATTCATTCCAGCGAACTTACAAAATGAGGGCTTTATACGAAACTGCTGATATTCTTGTTTTTTAATAACTAACCTCTTTTTAAAAAATGTTCAGAAGGAGAGAAAGCTCTAGTGTATCGAATCAACTCAGAAATATAAACCCTGTATGCAGGTGATGAAAGTACATTTCTGCATAAGCAAATGTAGTTGACATTTAAAAAGTTAAGTACATCTTGTTTTTCATGTAGCTTGATTGTTAGATTTCCATTAAAGTTTTTTTTGTAAAATATATGGTCTCTACAATGGCCCTGTCACCAAAAAAAAAAAAACAAACATCAATTTGTTTACAAAAGAGTACATTCCAAACCCTGTCACAATAAAAGAATAGACCATAATTATAGGACGAACTTAAAAAAATGTCTGCTTGCCCTCTCCCAACTAACGGTAAGATTAGTTTGGTAAACAGTAGCTTGAAAAATCTTTGTTATAGGAAATATCAATAAATATTTTCACAGGTTAAGAGAAATCACAGAAAAACATAACATATCATAGCATGTTTAGAAACAGACGGTCTATCTTAATCAGTGGATATAGAAACGATAAACAAACCATTTTTACGGTGGCCATGGGATGAAATTATACAAAATTCATATTAGATCTTTTTTCCGATTCTTTTTCATTTCTTTATAATGTATGCATGCACTGAGCAGAAATCTGTCATTTAAATACAAAATGGTTGCAATGCAAATCATAAAATGTAGGCCATTTTTTTAGTCTCCGTATGAATTACAGTCTGAGTTATCAGAATCTACTTAATTTTTTTTCTACGAAAAAGTCAAATGCTCGCTTCTTCTGATAATATAACAGCAATGTGGAGTGTTGGTATTTATTGCGGTATATTAAAAATCCACCTCACTGTGAAATGCAATTTATGATATACTTTCACAATAAAATCCTAATCTTTTTTACATTAAAGACTTGATGCATGCTCATGCAATAAATCTCCTATCATACCAAAACAAGTTTAAATAAACACCCCAAAAAATTCAAATCTGACACCATTCTTAAACATACTTTCGGTTTCGAAAAGAAATCACCTAAAAGTCTAACGGAATTTCCTTTGGCACTTCACTTTATTTGTCCTTGAATTTTTTTTATGCAAAATTATTTGAATAAAGATCGATTAAGTCAACACTGCATGGTTTGTTTAAATATATTGATTCTGGTTTTATTTTAATCAAGAGACCTACATCTCATTACATATGAACAAAATATTTTTAATCTGTTGACAAAACATATCAATTTTCCATAATATACATATCCTTTACATTTGGGCGGGACAAAGTTGCATTTAATTTAGTCTGTAAAGACTTGGGTGAAATGCTTCAAATTTTGTTATGTGCCTTTTTCCTAAATTTGTCATATTTTGGGAATAGACTTTTTTTTTAATTCATAAAACTTGGTGCATCATTACAATACGAGGGGTTATCAATAAGTTCGTGGACTAGCGTCATAAAATTAAAACAGCTTTAGGCACATCAATGAATTTTGAAATATCGAGTTAGCATCATCTTTTCTATCTAAAAAATAAACCATAAATCATAAATGTTATTTTTTATTAAATTAGTAATGTTTTTGTAAGCAATGGTATGTCCAGGCGGTGCAACCTCGAGCACTACGTTTTGGCGATCTATGTGTAACTGAGAAAAACTCTTTGAATATGACCATTTGACATCCAATAATCCTTTAATTCAGGTATGTATCGAGACACAATTGTTCCAAACCATATGAAATTTTCACTTCATTCTGAAAGTTTATGAAATTTTATCGTAAATTTTATACGGAATGTTCAGACAATATCTGAACAAGGCAAAAGAGGCCTTGAAATTGACGTCAAAAGGGGGAGGGGTTTCCGTTTCCAACATTTTATAAAGTTTTGCCCCTGTAAAAACTTGTATAGACCTAATATATGTTGAACCTGGCTACAGAGAAATGATATGCATCCAGAGTACAATTCTTTTGATGTCAAAATAAATTCAGAGGAGAAAATGTATATACACAGTAAATGTCAATATGCAGTCAAGGTGTAAAAAATCAATCACGTTGATTAAGTGTTGCAGATATTGAACTCCCAAAAGCAAAATATGCCGGCACAATCAAGCGAGGATCTGTCCCAATGCATTATCTATTTGGAATATTACATTCATTGAAGGCCACTGCTCATGACATTGTAAAGTCATATAAACAAGGCGGGTTAAGGTCCATACTCCACTCCAGGGAATCTCATCATAAAAGTGTATGAGGTAGAAGAAACGGACATTAAAAAAACAATGACGTTATCAGACGTCATGAAACTAAACGGCGATAGCCCCGGAAGAACATATAATGTTGTTTTTATTTTATAATAATTTGGCAAATAATGAACGTATCAGGCTAAAATTTTCAACATTTCTTGATTTTTTGGTGTTTTATGTTCCATATAAATTTGAAAGCACAGACTACATACATGTAGTACTAATTTTATAGCATCATGCAGTCCAAGAACTTTTTGATAACCCCTCGTAAAGGTTGAATTTGATTGAAAGCATGTAGACGTTTTATGAGGTTTTATTACCTTGTCACATGATTATCAATAACCAATCGGATAATGTGCTGTATAAAATAGATATAATGAGGTATATTAATCTGTTTTTTATAAGAAACTTCTACACAGATACTTGCACACAAAAATTCAAAATGGCAGAAGTCAAGAAAGCTTTTCATATTACTCCAGTTATGAGGACCATACGCGGTGGATATTATTCGATGTACTGCATTCGATATGCTGGGAATGGTCAGATCTTGGCAAGTTCGCCAGTGTCATTTGATATCAAAATCATTCCTGTAGAAGACAGGTTACCCACCACTTTATCAACGAAAAGTCTTCCCATATTTTTGACACCATTTGAAGGCAGTATTTTGTATACAGACCAAAAGTGCATTAGAAAAATTGACGGAGAAGGTGATGAGATATTTCTAGTACTTGAGGGAGATTTGAGAGGCATTCAATATATTGGGCCTAATATAATATTTGTTTGCACGTCTTCCAGAGTTGAAAAGTATACGACTTCAGGAGAAAAACTTTTAAAGATTGAACACGACGAATTAGGAAACCAGATTTATAAAGATCCACAGAATATCTCAATAAACCGAAACGGGGATATTTGTGTAGCAGAATACGATGAAACCGGGAACAATGAACCTTTACTAACTGTGGTTGATCAATTTGGAAAATATCGTTTTTCATACCCACCAACGCCTTCTGGTAGTCCAATGGATATCTGCTGTGATTCATATTGCCATATCATCATAGCTTGTAGACTAATACACGTGATTGACAATGATGGCAACTTCCTTAGATACCTGAACTATGATGGTATTCAAGAGGCTTGTAGTGTTACTATTGACAGTGAAGACAATCTCTTCGTTTCTCAGTTGAATGACACTTGTATAAGAATAATGAGATCTATGTGCTAATTAAAGTTTTCTAATCATTTAAGATCAATGCCAAATTTAAAATAGTGAGTATTTTTTTAGTTTATTCAAATTCAGATATAATTCATAACACAATTATATATGTACATCGCGATATACTCATGCATAAAACAAATGAACAAAATAATTTCAATTTTTTATTGTATTAGTTGCATCGTTTTCATTTGTTATAATTTAGAATGTTTTAATTTTAGATGTGTGTAACTTCTCAGTGCAAAGTAAAATTTAAGTCTACTTAGTATTTATTGTTTCAAAAATAAACTATGTAACTTAAGGTTATGAATTTCGAACTTGGAGCAGACACTAGAGTAATGAAGTTTATCAATATCGATGAATCAAATATTTCATGTACATTACTAGTGATAATTTCGGATAACCGTTTTAAAATGTCGATTTTGATCAAGTTTGATGAATTTGTACACGTCTTTAATTGAAATAAAAAAATCATGAATTCTTAATATGGCATTGGTTGAATTTTTAAGGTGTTAATTAAAAATGTCCATTTGCATGTCACATGTGTCTCGAAGGTATGGTATGTGACCGAGCAAGTATTACTGTTTAATTACACTGTATATCAATTTCTAGTAGTTGTATTGCTTGAACTATTTCGGCATGCGCAAGTATAATGAAAAGTAGTTGTCCGGTATATATGGTGCTGGTCAGGCGTGAAGTGGGCATCGAAGAGTAATCAACCAGTTTCGAACAAGCTTTTTTTTATTTATTCAGTGAATCACTGTCTAGTTTATTGGGTATGCCAGGGCAGTTGCATGCATACAAAGTCCCCTGGTTCCTGATCTTTCTGTTGGTAAATTTTTCATTCCATTAGAATTATTATGAAATCAACTCGGTTAATTTTCAAAGAGCTAAGGAAATCCCATCCTCCTTTGATATCATAGATTTTTGCAAAATAAATTAAATTTATACCCAACAGAACAATACAATTTGGAAAAATGATTTTCAAAAATTCATATTTCTTTTATTTGATCAATTATTAAATCATTGAAAAAATGTTAACAAGGGCAATAACGCCTACTTAAATAGCTTCATCTTCATTCAGACATTCTTTTATTGTACTTCTACTGAAAAATAATTTTCGTTATATTCATAATTGAGAAGTATTTTCAAAGTAGCAAGTATTGGGAATTTTTAGCATCACAATTATACATTTGACTCAGCTTTTACATAATAAACAATTTTATTCATGATGCTGTTTATAAAAAATGTACGATTTTTTTTTTATGTTGACATAATATTATACTTCTGTCTATTTATGTCTCCCATCTTAAATGATATGGCAGACTATACGTTTTTGGAAATAATTTTAACTTAATTAAATAAATTCACTTTTTGTACTTTTAACCATTTAAAATTGTATGGGCAGAAAGACCTTAACAAAGAAAAACAAATAAATGGAAATATTATAAGAATGATGCATAATTTTGAAATGTGTGTTTAATATTTTACATTGTATTTTGTAGATTGTAATGAGGATATTATTTCTTGGGGTCTGCTTCCAGTGCATCTCTGATAATTTCACGTGTCTATTGTACATATCGCAAATAAACTGGTTGATAGACGCACATCACATTCTATATCTGTGTTCTGTTGTTTATTCACTAAGATACTTAGAATAGAAACATTTTATGTTCGGATAAGTGAAACGAAGGGGAACATAAATATATATCCAACTGTAATCATAATATCCATGATTAATAATTGTAACATATATCAGAAAAAATATAAAACATTAACTACACAATTTTGTATCAGTTTATTCAAAATAGATAGTTTTCGGTTGACCTAAATTTAGCAAAAGTTACTTCCCGTTTGCCGCCATACTGGAGGTCCAAATGCTCATATTCCTTCATTGTTCAACCAATTTTAAATATTTATATTTGCGATTGTAAATTAGGAATCATTATTTTTCTGAAGTATATAATTTTTTGGAAGTCTCCTTTATTTAAAAAAAAATTATTAGATAAAGATTTTCCACCAAATATTTATGCTATATTTCCTTAAACTTGGTAAGACAAAGAGGAAAACTCACCGAGTCGACCTCCAATATGGTGACCAACAGGAGGTAACTTTAGGGCAATCGAAAACTATCAGTCATATTTCGTAAATAATTATAAAGATTAACTTTCTCGGACGACAATTTTATCTCTGAAGGATCTGATAGGTAATCTGCGTATGGAACAAAATGTCAAAAGATTTAAATCCTTTCAGAGGGAAAGAAGAATACAAAGATAGATTGTATGGAGAGCGTTTATGATCAAATGGCAACGGTGGTCTCTGGTGTTTCTAAAGGTTTAGGTTTGCCTTGCCATATAAATGTAATTCGTATTTAGATGTATGTGCATTGCTCATTTAAAAACCGCTAAAGATGAAGAAATACTGAAGATTAAAAAAAAGGACATTTTTTCAATTGCGAAGAAATCCATGATTAGCCATGACGGCCTTATCACATTATATTTCAAAAAGAATATGAAGATTACGAACAGTGTCCAATTTCAAAGTCCATAAAACAATACAAAATAGGAGCAGAACAAACACGAACCTTCAAAATCAGAGGTGGGTCAGGTGCCATGGAGGAGTAAGCATCCATTGCCGACCGGTCACACCCGCTGCGTGCCCCATGACATTATCGGGATAATACGGGAAAATCCGTCGTCCATTCAATTTATAAGTATTGGACTAACAATAAGCATTAAAAACATCAGTCAGCATTTGACTCAATGTTAAATTGTATTTGCTGACAAGTTCATTGTATCGACCATAGAACTTACGATATGATGACTTTAAACGAGACTGCTGATACTCTTGTTTCATCAACTTGCTTGTCAATAACTTAACTTGTTTTAGAAATTGTTCATACATGTAACTAGAGCATGCTCTTGAGTATGGAGTCAATTCCGTTTACAGGCGATGAAGGTACCGTATATCCGGTTTTTTTCGCGTGTTGGCAATTTTGAGAAAAAGGGGTAGATTAGTACAGTTTATATTTTGCATAAATTATTTTTTTTACGATTGAGGATCATTTAATTTATTTAAAATGGTAATGATTTTATGTCATATTATAACTGACATCATTTCTGTGTGCTTTATATTTCGCGAATTAAAAATGATCAGAAAAAATGCAAAAAATAGATCACCGCGAAACAAAACGGATTTACGGTATATTGTTGCATAAGTAAAGAAAGTTGGCGACAGAAAAGTTAAAGTCATCACGTTTATCATATAGCTTGCTTGTTAGATTATCATTAACGTTTATTTTCAAGCGACATATCCAAGTATGAAATAAATGCGTCAGACTCTGTGGTATCTGTTTTCTCAAGCTCTTCAAAATAGTATTATATTTTCGAAGAAGTAATGGAAATTATCATTGTTCATTGAAAATACGTTGTCGATATATCTAAATGTCGAGTTGAAGGCAACAGCAAGTGTTTCTTCTTTTCACGCATAATATTTTTCATAAATTCTGCTTCAATTGAATAGAAAAATTACGCAGCACAAATTGTGGGCATGTGCACGTGAATCCAAATATATGAGACCTGGTCTCCAAAAACAACATAGATATTGACAATCAGAATGCGTTTCAATAAAATAATTTTTCAAATGAACAATGACCAGGTAAGTAAGTTTTCGAAACTATTTTTATTGAAAAAGCAGCTGTCAATGATACCAAAAAGCCCGATGTTTAATTTATCGTGGAAAATGATTGTGTGTAAAGTTGAAAAGTCGTAAGTTTTTAAGCTGTTGATTTTGATAAAATCGTGTGAATTCAAATTGTCCAAAAGTTCTTTAGAATTTTTGAATATCCACATCTGATCCACACCATTTCTTGAATATATTATTGCACAGAACTTTTGAAGTTTTGCCTTTACTACTATCATTATCTTAGTGAAAAGTAACGAAAGAGACTTGGCTGATATTATAGTGAAACCTGTGTTTGTAAGGATTCTTATGAAGTTTCGGAGTCGAATACATATAGAGTAGCTCAAATTCACTTAGACTTTGTGAAATATCAACACCAAAGCTATGCCATGATTTCTTTAAGCAACGCCGTCACAGTGAAGAGGAAAATCGGTCTTTCCACAATAATCTAAGAATGAGAAAGTTTCATCAACAATATTACTCTGAACATATTTTATTACTAATGTTGAAGTATTTAGAATTTTGATACCTTAAAATATCTTAATGTGTTTAGATTGTTATCCTCACAAGCAATATATAGAAACAAGTCACCCTTATAATTTAAAACACACTTTAAATTCAGGCCTACATTGTGAACTGTAAAATCCATTTAATATGACTTTCTTATCAAATCTTAAGGCATATCCGTGTCAATGCTTGGACTTTAATCCCATCAAGGATTATTTTTGACATATTATTGATTAAAAATAATTAAAAGGACGATAAGAGAGTGGTTTTGTTCCTAAAGATGAGAAAATTGAAGAAGTTTATTTCATGTTGTTCTTGTGTTGCTGCTCTACAGCATCGTGAGGAATATTTCCTCAACAATTCATAAATAAATCTGCTGGAAAACTGTTTTATAAACGTGCAATGTTAATGTTAAGGTAAATGGGACTTTCCAAATAATAAATTTGCTTTATATGCCCGAATATATTCAATCTTTAATTCAACTTTAAGAAGCTCGTATTAGAGTTACTAATCTGTTAGAGACCTCCGTGTACCTTATATAGGCAATCGTTATTGATGCGAATAGTGGAAGGGACAGCAAAATAAAAAGGTACTGTGTTTCACCGTACCTTTTCCGGGTTTCAATTCAGAGTTTCATTTGATTCATTACAGCCTCTGTTATAGGAATAAGAAGAAACAAATCAACAATATCTTCTTCAAAAATTTATTTACACTTAGAAAAGTCTTTCAACAAAAAAAATGAACTATGGAGTAACATTCCTCTATAAATATTCACACATGTACAATTTGAGTGTGACAAAAATATGACCCCTTACCTCCAG